GCACCCCCACCCATTCATGACCAAAGGTCAAAGTGCACAAGAACTCCAGAAAAGGAGCCAACATTAGGGTTCACATTCACTTTCAGTCATTTCTTAGGTGTTCACCTCCACCTCCTAATACCCATCTGCTTTTGCTCTCTTGCTTTTTGATATTACAAAAACCAAACTGTTATACTGGCAATGGGTTAAATCTTCTTCTTGGGGGAGAGAAAGAAACAGCTGTGTTGCATCTCAAACATGCACCCATGGCATATATTAGCAAAGGCAGGTACACAAAAATGTGTAAATGCAAACAGGAGGATAATGGTCCATGTTTTTTTTGTGAAGTCTTTCCCCATCTTGGGAACAGATTGGATCCCAAGAGGTTTCTTTCTCCCTCAGTGTATAGCCAGACTGAGTGGAGCACAAATATCTAATACCAGCCCACAGAATTAAACATACTTCAGAAAAGATTCAGAAAGAACCAGTGTTATTTTTAGAAAAGCAAAAATGCTCCATTTATTATGCTCATTCCAACTTCCAAGAAATTAGATATCGTCCATGCAATGGTGAAATTCCCTTCTGTGTTCTTGGCAAAGAAAGGCTACTTTGAACAGATTTTGTACATCTGCTACATCAGGAAAAACACCTGGTGACAATTTTTGAGAGTTTCCCAGTACATAACTCTCTAGAGTAATTCAGCATCTAAATGGCACACAAGTTTCATAATATTGAAAGTCAGAGTAATGGTGTTTAATTTGCCTTTTCATGGAAAGATACAATCCATTTATTATGTCAGTGCAAAGGCAACTTTATCGGCCACTCAGTGATTAAAACACCAGAGTGAGACAGATATTTGTGAAATTAAACATTTTTCTTACTTTCATTATCTGAAATGGCCAAATGAAGGCAGCAAAGCATTAGGAGCAAAATGTTTAAAGGAACACTTCCTGAACACTCAGCAGAGAATAACAGCAGCCAGGTAATTTGTATTAACTGGGAAAGCAGCTACTTATACCAATAATAATAATATGTACCAAAATTTTTGGTACAGCTTCAGAAAAAGCTCTGGGTCCCTTAGGTTAGGTATTTTGAGTGTCACTGCATGTACTGTATCACCAGGCTCATACAAAGAATTCATGGAGCATTTCTCTCGGCAAAAAAAGTAGATGTCAGAAGTTGACCTTACTTAAAAATAAGATCAGGAGTTTTGAGCATATACCTGCACCCAACCTCATTCAGGAGGTTTCTTCTCTACCACAGTACCCACACTTGCACAGCAGTGTGCCTGTTACAAAATAAATCTGCATAGTACCTCAGAGCAGCAGCTTTCTCTAGATTGTGGACAAGTCAGTTAAAGGAGTTTCAAAGTAGCTTAGAATTATAATCTTCCATTCTTTTTACTCCCTCCAAATGCTCTTTTGCTTTCTCAGAGTGTATTTCCCTTGGAACAGACGCTGACTGGTTAAAGCTCTGTTTGGCTTGCTCTGCTAAAGGGTCTTGAGGAGTTTTAGCTCATCCGTTTCTAGAGTGTTTATTTGAGGGAGTCATGGGGTTGTTAGGGCTGGTTTTTGGTTTGTTTTAAGAAACTTTAGCTGGATGTGAAGGGTATTGGAGAAAGTGGGATGCTTTTCCAAGTTCGTGGATTCCTTTGTTAGCTGGAGGGCAGGAAGGCACTGATGCGAAGCTAGACATTGCCACCCCGTGGCCAGAGGCGCTCGCCTGGCCAACGCTGGGGCCGCGAAACAAGGAGTGCTCTCACCAAATTAGAGCTTCAAAGTCCTGGAAAAAAGCGAAGGGGGCTCAACTTCTCCAAGCAGGACAAAGTTGCAAAAATGGAGACATATAGCCCGGAAATCTCTTAGTCCAAAGTAACCTGCTTACCCATGAGAGGGGACAGGACTGCCCTCCCTTGCACAGACACCCACAGAACATGAAGAGTTTGGAGTGTCTTTTTATTGAACCAGGAGAGAGGGAGAGGACAGGCCCCTCACTGCCTGACTACAGTACTCTGTATTTTCCTCTTTGGAAAAATGAGCTTCTACAGGAGGATATACTTTCAGTATACAGTATATACTTTCAGTATACAGTAATTAAGTATTCTGTACCATGGTACCATCACTACAATTTCCTTCTCTGCAATCCCATTTTAAAAATGAAAGGGTGACACTTGGGAATGTGTCATTTCTTGATGAGAAAGCACCACAAGCATCTGGCTCCACATCTGACAAGGTTCTACAAATGGAGCTGCTCAGAGGCACCAGTTTGTGCCAGTTCAGGAAGCAGAACATTGCTATTTCAAATTAAGCAGAAATACCTACAGTGTGTCAGTTCCTGCAGAGCTTTTAACAGCTCAGCAGCACTTTTTGGCTCATTAAGAGTATCAAAATTTGCTAATGATCAGCTACATAACTCATTCTGGGTGGAAGCCCTCTGAATCTTCATGCACTTCCTATGTCTGTTTTTCATTTATCATGCAAACATCCCATTCCTCACTGTCTTTTCTAACAAACAGACTCTGCAGAGATATGATTCTGTACCCTATCTAGGAGGTATCTAGACTCCATGCTGTTCAGCCTTTTTGCTTCATTATGCTGGAAATATGTTCTACCAGTTATCTGGACCAAACTGATCATTTACATAACAGCTATGGGGAAACAGATTGATAATAATCAGATTTCCATTCAATAAAGACTCTCACCAGGAAGCTCATAAGGTGAGACTGATCTCCCACACCTCTGGAATTCCACATTGCAGACCATTCTCTGATGCTAAAGAGACTAGGGCCACCTAACAGGTGTCTCCTGCAGGGAAGATGAATCCTACCACTCCTGACTGGATGAACAGGACTTTTCAATGTAATCCTTCTATCCAAATTCAGTTCTTCCAGAACTCTTAAATTCCAGATTTGCTGTTCAAGTGCATTAATTGTATTTGTTATCTCAATCATAAAATTATATTGGGCTCCCTGGAAGAAAATATGTATTTAAAGATCAAACGGGTTTTGAAGCAGCTTTTAAAAATTAAACATGCCATTTATATATATAATAGAAATGCAGTTCTTTGAAATCCTCTGCCTGTGATGTACTTTAACCACATGCAGTAGCAAAACAGAATTCCCATGTCACCAGAGCAAGGAGAGAATTCAAATCTGGCCTTTCCAAAAAACCAGATGCATTTTTATATCATTCTTATATACTGCTCTACTGGTTTCAAGGGAATGGTGAAGAAATTCTATGTACTGTACACTGCTTAATCACAATTTAACACTAAAGGGTAAATTAGTAATGTAGAACAAGATTGCTATGAAAGCAAAAATTCTGTGGAATCAAGGCAACAAGATGAAGTAGGCATGCAAGAAAGAAGATAGGCCTTATCAGCAGAATTGAATTCCAGATAAAGTGCAGCTTCCCTTCCCAGAGCACAGAGACAGCCTATGATTGCAGCAATCAGAATCAGCAAGAGGTTATAAATTTAGCTAGTCTGAAAACCAAATGAAATGGAAAATAGAATGTCAAGCACTGAAAAGCAAGCTAATGAACAGAGAGCAGTATCTACAATTTTCACAGCTCTGAAGAGATCATAGAGAACTTTTCTGTTGAGTTTTCAGGTCAAGAGCATGTGGGATAATTAATTTCCCATGATTAATGGGACAGTACGACACCAGCATGAATCTGTCATCAAGTCATTCCTAAGACATTGTAGTAAAACTTTCAAATTTAGTGTCAGAAGAGAAAACAAGCAAACAAAATGCTTATTGTGTTAAGAGCCTTCTAGAAATAGCAAATACAAAGTGTTTAATCTCAAATGCCTCTTTACTTTCTGGACTTGGAGCTAAGAGCAGGTTACCTTCATTATCTAAGTCAACACACTGCTTCAAGATAATTAAAAGGTCATGGTTATCATGATAGTGGCAATTATCTGTTATACAGACCATGGGAAGACCAAGGAAAAATATGCACTTCCCCTTTCCCTGGAGAGTATCTCAGTTTTATCTAGATCTATATATACAGACATAGATATGTAATATACATATAATACATATATATACACACACATACATTCTCTCCCTGTAGGAAATAAGTAAAACTGATAAAGAATTCTAAAGGTCAAAAAGACAACAAAAATCAGATGCCTGAATGTATATACAGAAAGAATTCAGAGCATGCTCTGAATGACAGATTTTAGGAAAAAAATGAATCTTAGTCAAAAAACCAAGGCAATGATATTACATAGCTAGAGAGTACTGAAAAAAACAAAATGAAGGTGTGTTTTTTACCTTTCCCCAGACTTGACAATATAAACAAACATCATATGTAGCCAATAGCCCCATCTGGTTTCTGAGTGCACATGCAGCTTCCAAAAACATCCATACTTCCTTTCTTTGTAATATCCCTTAAATATAAAATAAATCCACAGTTTCTGTAGAGAGTTCTTGAGAGAATAAAAAGGCACCATCTCAAAATGGACTTTTGTTGTAACTTAAAGGGAAATAATTTTTCTGAAAAATATTTAGTTCTATGTAACTCAGTAGGAAAAACTGTAATAAGTCATTGCAGGCAATAGTCACAGTTCTGAAAAGGGCACTTGAATTGTCTTTGAAAATCGGGAAGGAAGGCCTTCACATGACCACTGAAATCCACAAAACGACTACTCACATTATGAGAGCCTTCAGTTCTACAAACTGGTTCGTTCTTAGTACAACATGTACATAAGTTTTCTTGAATTAGAAGATAAAGCTAGTTCCTATAAGTACTGCAGTAGATGAATTTGACAGAAAATGAGGAGTGGTGTCTGGGGAATTGGGTCAAACCAATTCTCAAACCCATCTAACATGCTTGTGCAGATGCATTTACTTGATGTCAAAAAACATAATAAAGCTAAGTCAGGAAAAGGAAGCCACAATTCATATTGAGGTTTTTTTCTGCTGTAACACTTTATTAAATATTTTTCATTGCATCTGTGCATTAATCATTTTCCAATATCCATCAAGGCAGAAATATATAGCAAAGAAAACTGTAGTTAAAAAAAAAAGACTTGGGTTTTGTCTTTAGTTCACAGACTGATCTTTAACAAGTACAAGATTGTGTATCTTAATGAAATGTAATTCACTGTCATATAAACTGGTAATTTAGTCTGGGATGAGGAGCTCCACCTTACAGCACACAGATAATGAATGAGTCATTGAATGCAGCCTTCATCCTCCTACAAAGCCAGTGCTGTATTTCCTTAGGTATTTCTGCAGTAGTTAGGCTGCATTTTCCAAAAATGCTTATGAACTCTTGTAACACTGATCAGGAGCTAAATTTATTCTCCTTACATTCAGCTCTGTTGCAAAGGTTCTTGCCTTTTGGTAAAAGAAGAGAGACATTTCCCGATCCACGAGGAAGTTATGGTAGATCACAGCAAGTCTGGTGTAAATCTTCAGTTGAGCTTTTTTATTGCCCAGGTCCATGGCAGCAGCGAGTGCCAGGTGGTAATAGCCAGCTGCATCAAAAGGGTCCTGAAATAAGAGGCTCAAAGATAGTACAACCAGTGCAAGAGGACTGCAGAGCTCAGGTTTGTAAGTATCTAATAAAAATAATATAGATTCTGAGCTTTTGAGGTTTTCCCACTTTACTGTTTACAATCCAAACACACAAGACCAGAAAATGGCAAAATCTGATTCTATGAAATATTACTTAGTATAAAAATTTGCTACACAGGTTATTAAAATGTCTTACCTTAAGGTCATAGAATATAATATCTCCTAAGATTGAGTACACCTTGACATAATAGAGTGTTTCCTCCTCAAACTCCAGAGGAGAGGAACAGAGGGACAAGGCCTTTAAATAGAAGTGTTCAGCTAGTTCACAGTGACCCAAATGGTGATGGATGGCTGCCAGGCGATGGTAAGCTATTCTTTCATTTAGCTGATTTCCTAAAGAGATAACATAGGAGTCAGGATATAAACAAAGAGACAGAATTTTTTTAAAAGTAGCATAGATTTGAGTAGTCTATTTTGAATTTGCTGAGCTTTTATTGAAAAAAAACCCCCACATTTGCTTAAGAGATGCATGGTCAAAAACTGCCCTTCAAGAAAAAATCCTATGGAATTTCTGAATTTCCTCCCATAGGATTTGGCAGTGTCTGGGATTTTAAGAAATAACTACATTCATCTCTCATGTATGTGTTATAATATATATTTATACACACATACACACTGTGCATACTTACAAAGAATACAAATGAATTATTATGAAAGTTAATGGGAATAAAAACTCCCTTGCCCATTCCAATATATATTTTACATGAAAATTTGCAACAAAAAGATTATTTTTAGACTGATCAAAATGACTGGTCTGTGCTTGTACAGAGGGTTAAGAAGGTTCTTAATCAGTTGAATAGCAACCAAACTTTAAGAATAGTCATTTTGAAACAAGACATATAATTTTCAGTTTTTCCATCTTATGTTGGTCCACAATAAGAGCTTTGGCAAATCTGAAAGTACTCTCAAAAGCCTCTTAGGACCATTTTATTCATGAGTATTGTATCTTAGCTCTTAGAAGCACACTCAGTTTGGACATAAAATTCCAGGTTTGATTCTGTGCTCTACCACAGGTTTTCCATTTGATCTTAAGTTGAAGAGTAAGCAATAAATTGCTAGTTGTTTAATTAGAAGCAAAAAATAGCCATTATAGTGGTGTTCTGAAATCCTGGCAAGAAACGACTGAATGCAAGGGAAGTAAACTCTAAATTTAGAGTTCTGTTGTATTTTTAGAGATATCACTCATACTCAGCTATAATGGAAATTGTTCTTACCTAATTTTACACTGAGGACAAGAGCTACTCTTGCATATTCCAGACTTTCTTCGTAAGCCTTCAGATTCATCAGCAATTCCACCAATTTATTACATAATCTGAGTTCAGTGGTTTTGTTGCCCATCTGAACAGCAAGTGGGAGAGCCCTGTCCTGAAACACACAACATCAGCTTAGGTATGGCTGAACCCCAAGATGTGCACTGACAGCTCTCATTTATGTCAAATCAAGTCATTTCTGGTTTCATGTTGCTTTTTGCATAGAAAGTTCTCGCAACCAGAAGTGGATTTGAAACAGGTGATATCTGCTAATACCATGGCAAGTACTCAACTGGAACAGTTTGCTGAGAGGTTCCAGCTTTTGGTTCAGCATTTATAGAATACCTGCTATGGTGGGAGGTACATAACTATCAATGCAGCAGAAAAACTGCACAAACCCTGTAGAAAGTCACTGCTTTCTCCTTTTCCCAAGTACCATTGAAAAATATGTCTCCAGCAGCTTCAAACAATTCCATTCCTAAATTTGGATCTCCTGTGCAAAGAGCAGCATCCTGAGCAACCTGAAAAGTAAAAAAGGAATGGGGAAGGAAAGAAAGAAATTAAATCTTGTTTACTCCATGGTTAAAAAAATCAGCAGTATTAGCAATTTTAAAAAAGATCTTTCTTTTTATTTTCTCTGCTATGATAATGATGAGAAAGGATATATTTGATGTGAACATGCTCCTTTTTGGTACCCTGTCTTTGAACAAGCCAGTGGCAGGTGCTAAAAAGGAAACAAAAACCTGGTTACCTTTTTCTGGCAATAGTATCCTGCTAACTTTGTCAGCACATGACATTCTAAGAATAACAGTGTATTTGATAGCTGCCACATAGTAAATTTGAATTCGATCAAACATATAATAAAACTAAATTCAAATTGCAAGTTAGATATTGCTAACTGCAGCTTTAGAAGCCTGTGGACTGATTTCTGTAAATAAATTCAGATCCACTATTCTGTTCTCATGGATAAATACATGTCTTGTTAGCAAAAATGATTTAATAACAGACCATGCAAAGCAAGAATACCAGCATCCTCAGTTACTGATAGAGAAAACAACAATGAAAAATGTGCCTTCTACACAAGGCAAGGTTAAGAATCCTGCTCTGGCTTTGTCTTTAGTTTTCAAATTGCATTCAGTCAGTACAAGTCCTCCTTTCTACTTGAGCACGGAGGTGTGCGAGACACATGCCTCTGCTCTCACACGTGAAAAGACAACAGCAGCTCCAGCTGGCCCAGTGTCATAGTAGGCATGGTCACAGCAGGGAAAATTCAGATGCTGTGGAAATGCTTCCTAAAGAAGCTACTCTGTTTTCCTGGGAATCTGGCCCACAAGCCAGCATGCTAAGGTGATTATTCTCTGTTACCCAGCAGCATGTTGCATGCCTGTGTCATATAATTGCTGTGGTGCTGTAGAGCGGGCAAATGGTGTTGAAGGAACACACAGAATTAACAGGAACTAAGAAATGTCACTGCCCAAAATCCTTCCAGAATCAAGCAACAGATTAAAATGGATTAGCAGTGGAAATGCTGAGACTTCCCCTTCACCTGCTGAGCATTACACGAATGGTGGGATTAAATGATCAGAACAACAATTGGTAAAATGTATGGAATTTTTACATCTAATTACTCTTACCATGCCACCTGCACAACACTGATGTGCATGCCTGTAAGTGTTGACAATGTACCTGAATATAAAGATCCACAAGCTCGTTCTGCCTCAGAACATAATATATCTTTCCTGCCCGGAGCCAAGCATATGCCTCCTTCTCTTTTTTCTGGAGATCTATAAATATTCCAAGGCTTCTTTTGGTATATTCCAGAGCTGACCTGTAAGCCCTGAAATAGGGAAAAGTGCCAATCACAGAAGGGTTCTTCAGAATTGCAAATAGTTTTCTTCATAGCAAGAAATGTTGCTGTAAGACGTTCCGTTTCCCCTATTTAGGGCACAATTATAATTTCTCAGCTATATTACACTAGTAACTAAAGAATTTTTTCCCCCCTCTTTTGTTCCATCTACATTTCCTGTTAGATTGTTATTTATTATATTGTTATAATTTCTCAGCTATATTACACTAGTAACTAAAGAACTCTTTTTTCCCCCTCTTTTCCTGTTAGATTTTTATTTATTATATTGTTATATATTATATAAATGTTATATATATAATGGTATATTATATATATTATTATATTATGTTAGCCATTCATTTTTCCTGTTCTATCTTATATTATTTTAAGATGGTTTATATGTGTCCTTGCTCTACCTCAAACTTGTGAGAAGTAGAAAAGTCTGTCAACATCTTTAACTCTTCTATCATTTATGGAGTATTACTAAAAATGTCAAAGAAAGCACATCTATTTTTTTAAATAATCTATACATCTGACTTAAGTGCCATTGAGACTAATCAGCAATTGTTGAAAAAAAATGAAGAAACTGGGAGGAGAATGGTAGGGCAGAGGAGAATGGGACATGTCATGGTCAGTTCTAGAAGCACTTAAACTACCAGGTTTATTGATGTTGTGGTGCTTTATACCAGACAGAAACCCCAGAAATCTTAAATCTTTCTCCATCTAGTGCTAGACTCCCATCAACTTGACCCAATGCATTTTCTTCTGAGCACAAGACACAAACATATTAAAATAGAACATGACCTGCACAGTTGTGGTGTTGGAAGAGCTGAGTTTCCTTGTTACTCAGGGCAGCTAACACAAAGAATACTGGGATACTAGGTATTATAATTCTGGTCTAACACCATATTGAGTTTGTGCTGTTATCTGGTGGCATGCTAAGGATATATAGTCAAGACTGGGGAGCCAGGCTTCTGGGACATACAAATTCCATCTACTACAAGCACACAAAGCAGCAGCTTCTCCAGCTAGTGAAGTCCTTCTGCAAATTCCAGGCAGCTTGAAATCTTAACCAACTCCTTTGTCTTCAGTCTCTCCAAAGGATGGTCACCAACTATATCATTAACAAGCCCCAACAAACCAAAATAAATTGGGTGACCTAAGCAAGTTAGATGCTCAGACTAAGGCACTTAAAGCTAAAATAGGCATCTGTTCTCTTTCCATGACTGAAATTTTTTTGCATCCTTACTGAGGCAAGCTTGAAAATATCTGAATCTAAAGTAACTCCCTGAAGTACAGCAAGAAGAAAAAAAATCAGACAAAGCAGCCTTAAAAAACACTTTAAATATTCTTAGAGAAAACTAAGTTTCCTCAGCACTTGCTACTATAATTTAACTTGTGCAGTTTGTTATTTCAATAGATCACAGCAAAAAAAAAAATGGTATTTGAAAAATAAGAGCAGTATAGAAATTACAGAAGAGCAAAACTATGCAGGTTTCCACTTCGGCTTTGTACTTATGTAAGTTTTGAAAAAACCATTCCTCAAAGAGAAACACTTACATAGAGGCAATTTAATGCCTGACCTGTTTGGAATATGTCCTTTGGTGCCTTAAAAAAAGTCCTGCAAAAATCCTTGAAAATAAATCACCTGATATAGCAATCATCAAGAGCTGCATAACATATAATAGGTTTAAAATGTATTTACATAGATTTTTAAAATAAATTGGTTTTTGAAGTAGTGCTAATCCCTGCAGAACATCTTGTCTCCCTTGAGAGATTACAGTTACTTAAAAAGAAACAAGAAAATTCTCCATTAGCACTGGACTTTTCAATTCTGATAAAGTGTATTACCAAAGCAGAGAGAGGGAAAAAAAAAAAAAACCCCACCAAAAACCAGGCATATGCAGCTTTTGCAGAAAAATTAGATCCTTTGCAGGATGGAAAAGTTAAAATCAGAATGAAAGAAAAGTCATTCAGCATGTCTTACCTTTCTGTTCCTAAAGACAAATAAAGCTGACTAATAGTTTCCAAAATTTGTCCCTCCAGAACTTTGTTGGACATTTTTCTGGCTAAAGATAGTTGATATTCATTGTAGATGACACACTGAGTCTCATTGGGAGCAACTGCACTGTAGAAATGACACAGCAGTTTAATCACTTGCAGCTGACCTAGGAGAATAGATTGGAAATACAAACATGAATCTCTGTTTTAAAATGAAAGTTAATTATTTTAAAGATTCATTTTCATTGTTTCACAGATTACAGCACAGCATATGAAAAATATAGAAATCATTACAAGAATATCCCACTGCCATTTCATTCACTCCCAAAGTTAACAAAGGCTAGAAGTTACTTCAAACTTCATTTCCAAAATAAAATAGTAATAGAGTCACCTTACCTGCATTAGCTGCCTCAATTATGACAGGAAAAATAACAAAGTAATATATGAATCTTCTAATTACAGGTGTAACATACATGTATAACTCACATTTCCAAACAGGGTACATTTTGTGACTTATGAAAGATATACTTACTCTCCAGATGACTTGTCTCCATTGCAACTAAAAAAGCCCATTCATAATAAAACCTTCCTTTCTCTCTTTCGGTTCCACCAACATAATAACATCCCAGCTGAAGGAGGACTTGGATAAAATCTTGACCACAATCCATAATCGGAAGCTTGGAGAATAGCTTAACTGCCCTGATAAAATAATGTTCTGCCAGCTTGCTGGCTGCTGCATGCAGGCAGAGTGCCCCAAAATTAGCCAGGGCTATGGCTTGGTTATGGGCCATGTCAGTCTCTTCTGAAAGACACAGAGCTTTGTAGTAGCTCTCAGCAGCTTCTTTTGTGTTGTTTGTCCTTTTCAAAGCAATGGCAAGCATGTTGTAAGCAATGCCAAGCTGCTGAGGACTGCTCCATGCAGAGCCTACAACAGCATTTAAAATGGCTAAAGCCACTTCATATTGCTTGTAAAGAATGTAAAGCCAAGCAAGTGAAACCAAATAGTTGATTGTTTCCTCTGGCTTAGCAGAAGCAGAGTCCAGTGCTTTCATCATGTAAGCAATGGCTTTCCCATACTGTTTGTGATGGCTGTACAGCTTTGCTAAGCTGAGATAGATAGTGCTGCACAGTCCTTCCTCCTCATTAGTAGAGACAGAAGAAAGTGCTTGTATGAGGTAAGGTGCAATTTGGGATGGGAATATTTGTCTGAGTTTTCTCAGGCCATATAGTTTGGGAGCATTTTTGATGACTAAATCAATCCTTTTCAGGGAATCCATTAAGGTACTGGAGCTCTGGGGAGAGGTAACCTTCATGCAACTTAACACAATGTGTGGCAAACACTTTTCGTGGTAGGACTCTGCCAGTTTGAAGTAACAGTTGTTGGATAAACTGTTTTGTAAACCCAGGTCATTGAGCAACAGCTGAAACCTTTCCAAGAATGGCAGTGCCTCTTGGTGTTGTTTGCGTGCACTGTAATGTTTTGCCAGCAGAAAGCATGCCCTTGCCTCTGCATGTTTGTTCTGGCTCAAAATTGTCCTCTTCAGAGCATATTTCAGTATATCTGACTCCAGGTCAGCACTGCAAATGTAGTTGGGAATTCCCATGAGAAGAGATGCAGCCTTGTCAAAAATATGAGTACACTTTTCTTTGTTCTTCTGGGTCAAGTAGATGACTGTTAGATTTGTATAAAGAGCAATCACAAAGTACAAATCACTAAACCCTCCAGCTACTGCTCTCAATGCTTCCTCAAAATACACACGAGCTTGGGAAAACTTCAGCTTTTTGACACTGAGCCTGCCTAAGAGAAAGCACAGCCTTGCTAGTGCCCAGGACAGACCTGCTTTCTTTGCTGCTTCCCTTGCTAATCTTAAAAAATTAACCAGTTCTTCTTCTTCTGAAAATCCATAAAACATGCTATTTATAAATGAATAAGAGAAATTATACAGGCTTTTGAAGTTGCTCTCATACTCTTTCCTATTTAAGAAAAGTAGCAAGGGCTCAAAGAAGTCAGAGGCTTGAATATCTTCCTGACATATGTGGAAGCAAGGCCCTTCAGGTAGAGGAAATATTTCAGTCTTTGAAGAGCCAGCAGATTCCTTCCCTTCAGCAGTTGGCTCTTCAGCTTGAGTGGCCTCCAAATTCTTGAAGTTCTTCAGCAATTCTTCTATCTTGCCATTCTTGCTAGTGGATCCTGGGCTAGAAGGTGAGCGTGCAATTTCTGAAATTTCAAAATATATTACAGATCACAACTTCCTGCATGCATGCATACACACAAAGGCCTTTGATAGACCAGCTAAAACATTTGTCAGTGAAGATGGTGTTAGGAAAACATTATGTAAACATACAATGATTTCTTAACAGAATGTCTACGAGAAAAGCCAAAGGTGTAAAAAGATAGCAAGGAGGATGAAGAAGTGTGGGAGACTGGAGGAGTGGGAATAAACACAACATGCCACAGGAAGCAGGTTAGTGATTAGTAAACTTGTCTAGCCAGGCCCTGGGCCTGATCCAACACTAATCCATCTAAAGTCCAGCATTAATTCAAACTGCCTTTTGACTGTGTATACTCAGAAAGTACAGTCAGTGTGTAGTCTCTGTTCTCTCCGTGCGTACGTGAGCAAGAGACCTGCCAAAGAAATACAATTCAGACTAGCTGATAAGCAGAAGAAAATCTAGGAAGATCCAAGGTCTGAAGTGGAGGCTGGATAAAGGGTCCAGGATCAGGGCATAGTTGGACTTAAGGTGTGAGGGAAATGGGAAACCAACCATAGACGTAGAATGGCTGTGTCCTGACAGCATTCTCAGGCAGGTCAGCCAGGGCAGGGAGTAGGACTGAGCTATTTGAGCTGGTTGTTCCACTGTGCTTGGGGATGCCTGCAAAGCTTCTGTTCTCCTGTCCTGGCCAGCCAGACCTCTGTCTTGTGTAATAGGATTTCTTCTATCAATCTATGAGCCCTGATTCTCTGCTGGCACAGATTATCTTTCACAAAATTATCCATTTGTGGCAACTGATATGGGCATTGAACTAAATTCTCCTAGCGACAACATGGTTGAATACCTACAAATATAATAAAGGCAGATATGCCATCAATTCTCAATCCTCGCACTGTTTTCCAGGCCAGTCAACAGGGCAGGGATTAGGGATGGAGTGTACAGTCATAGTCAGTTCTTAAGTTTACAGCTGCAGATCAACAGGAGCTTGTTGAAGTCACAGATTTACAGCTCAATTCTCTTAGAATCTCATTTCTGAAACTGCAGCAGAATCATAAATATAAAAATTGTTGTTTAGGAAAATGTTGTACAATATGAGTAATGATAGTGACAGCTTAGAAACAAAACACCAAAGGGAAATAATTCTGCATTCTCAACAAAATATCTCCTTTGGGAAATCTATTTCTGGGACAAAGTTTCCTAGTAGACAAAAAAATAAAAAGTCTGCTGGAATTCAAACTCAGCAGTTGCCAGGTGCCCAATAAGCAGTATTTTGCCTTGATAAACAATGTGGAGGGGCTGGGAGGTGGTGAATGTGTGTCACGTCAGTGAAAGTCATAGAATTTACAGCTGGATAGCAAGTCCCAAGAAAGACATTTGCTATCAATGAAAATCCACAATCTCTTACAGAAAACATACTAAGAAGGGGTTAAAGCAAAATCTCAGAAAGCAAACAATGAGAGAAGAAAATTAGCATGTGAAGAGACATTAGAAGGATAATTGCTGGCAAAGACACCAAAAATATCAGAAGTCTCATTAATTTTATGTAAAAATTGTCTGTGTATGAAGTATTACCACATTCATGCGCTTTCTGAAATTCAGGTTCTTCTAACTCATCTGTAAGAAAGACAAAAAAATCATATTAGGTGTAGTATCTTGGTCATTTTTCAGTTTCAAATCTCCCAAAATAAGGCTATATTTAGTAGATAATTCTTTAAGTCATAAGAATTTGATAGGGGTTAGCTGACACAATTCACTGCTTCTGCATGGCTACCATCAAGTAGCTACCTCTGCTCAGTAAGGTGGGGAGCAAATCACAGTCAGAATAAAAGCCAGCCTGTCCTGCAGGAGGAAGGCATTTCTGCTGCATTAAAATACCAGTGGGCAGCAAAGATGTGACCATTCTCCACAACCTGCTCATAAAATGAGGTTGCAAAGAGCCCTTAATATTTTTAGTGTCACTCCCAGGGTAATGGGGAGAGAGGTAGGAAGGCAAGTTATTTAGGGTTGTTGGTGTAGATAAGTGTCAGACTTTTGTAGCCATTCCAATAGCAGGTAGGTGAAAAAAATCACTCATTTAAAAAAATTTAGCTTAATTCTGTAAACTTTATAACTATAGATCTGGCTTTATATTTAAACACAGCATATCTGCAGATCATTTAAGAATTACTATTTTGAGTAGCAGATATTTCTCAAGGCATTTCAGTTGTCATGCTGCAGTTCAGGAATATTTTCACTCTTTCATACACTTGATGCAGTAGAAGTGGTACTGAGAGTATGAAGGATATATACAAAAGCAGAGGCTCACAGACCTATTTAAGCTCTATTTAAGCTGGTGGAAAGCTACTTTACTAGTCTTTAAAAATGACCTCTCACTGACTGTTTACTTCTCAAAGTCCTTTTTATAAATGCTTTTCTGACTTTGGTGGATGAAAGCCACAGATGTTTATAGCAGTTGCAACTTAATACTTTAAATATTTCATCAGGGAAGTGCTCATAAGTAAATACTTCTCAGTAGATTGATGTAGATGGAAGAATTGAAAATACATTTAGTCAGATCACACAACAAAATATCAAGTTAATATTGAAAATGCTTGCTCTGGATAAGTTGAGTTATGAGAATCAATTGAGCTGTTTAAGAGAAAAGTGGTAAAGATGGTACAATGAACTTGGGAAGATGCAGAAGAAGGTGGGACTTAGAAAGATTAGGGAGGAGATGTAGTGAAAAACGTGCAACAGCAACATTTAGCAGTATGTCCATTAAACTCCTGACGTGCTTTACTACCTTAGAGCTTGGAGCTTTTGTTCCCAGGCTTTTCCTTAGGAGGTGAGATGTGCAGGCATTTTGCACGTTGCCAGGGCAGGTCTGACACACCCTATTTATTGTTCACACTCACACACACACTCTGATTTGCAGAATTAAACCAATGTGCCTGACTCCAACCTACACAGCAGCTCCTGTCAACCTGGAGCCTGCAAGCCTGTCTCTCAGGATGGCACTAATGGAGATAAAACTTCCTTAGGTATTGGACAAGCAAATGCATCACCAACAGCCTGTGGTGAAATAAGAAACCACTGCCTCTCCTCAGTTCAGCAAGACTATTACTGATGCCTCAGGTTTTAGCTTTTATATTTTTCAGATTCTGTACTGCTTTGGCATGTGGGTCTGGGCTTCATTTTGGGGGATTGTAAGCTCTCTTCACAGAGTAGAGAGACAAAACAAATCCTTCTCTAGCTGGAGACCCAGGACAACCAATCCAGATCTCAGGCTCAAAAGCATAAACAGTGGTGGACTGAAGAGAAAAAACAAGAAGCATGGGACTTCATGGGCTAAAGCTGTAATTGGACAATTAACTCAAGTATGCTAACAGAGCAAAACTTATAAAATTGTGAGACCCCATGACTGGTCATCCATTTTGGGGACCATTTTGTGTTCACATGGGGTGTAAGCCTGGCTGGGCTCTTTTGCTGCCCAAGGTGGATCTGCTGAGGCCTCCTAATAGAGATGTACTTTATTCTTTATCTCCCTCTAGTCTCTGTTCTAGGTTGGCCTTCACAAGGCATCATTACATCACCCTGCCTTACATTAAGTCTATGAAAGTGAAACCCCAGTTACCCCAATTGCTTATGCACAGCACAGTGAAATAACAGCTGTATCAGAAATTATGATACTATGACTAGATTTTGCTACTTTTCTATACCTTTGAAAGGGTACTGGAAAAAAAAAAACAGAACTTGGGTGCTTTAGCATAGATCTTGAGAGACCAGCAAGAGAACCTTCTGCAAGGGTAAAGTTGCTTGGATCTTGTGAGACAAAGAATAGAAACTGAACCAATGTAAGTCCAGCAACCTCTTTTCCCAGGAAGAAACTCAGCTACAGAGTAATAATATTTTGCAGTATTTAAGCAGACTTCATATTCCAATTCCTTTGCAGTTTTGACTGATACATGCTATGACAATTCACATTAAAACAACAAAAAATCCCAAAACCAAACATAAAAAAAAAAACAAAACCACAAAAAAATCCAAAAGACACATACATAAAAAACCCCACAACAACAAAAAAAAAAAAGCCCTAAACACCACCCTGAATTTAATGTTTAGCATTTCAAAGCTGAAACTAGAAGACTAGTTTCTTTTTGTTTATGGAAGATAAATATGTATCACTCACTTGTTTCTAGATAAGTCCAGTTTAACATGACCTGTCTTTACAAAACCTATTTGGCCAGTAAACTCATGTCTTCCAAGAAACCATTCCATGCATTCAATGAAGTAGCCAAGGATCTCAATTTTGTCCCCTTCCTGGAAACTCAGTTCTTCTGACACAATACTTTCATGATTCATCACAGCTAGACAGGATCCCCTTGCTGTGTAATAAGGAGGTAAATAACATTTGCAGATAAAGTCACTTAACAATAGAAATACACCTAATAGAACAGCAACTCAGCAGAAAGTATTTAACAAAAGACATTCCTGGAACCTGTGAGTTGAATATCTGCTGTGACAAGATTTAAAGCACCCACACTTCATTGGTTTGATAATTAGATCTGTAAATAGCATAAAAATCCTCATTTCCTGTTAGAAAGCAAAACCTAAAATGTTCTCACAATTCTACCAGATTTCATAATGGAGCAGCAAAAATAACTGTTTTAAGTCCTTACTTTCCCTCTTATAAAGGGCTCTGAACTTCAGCCAGAGTAAAGCACTTGAACCAATTGAAACAATCCCTGTGGGATAAATATGGGTATATACCAGTCAGCACAGTATTAAAACTGAAATCATGGAAGAAAATAAGCCATATTTGCTCTCCAACCTCGAACCATTTGTATAAGTTTTATTTCTCTGGCAGTATGAGAAAAAGCAGCACACATATCAAAGATCCACAATTACATTGGTGCATTTTCTGAGGCACCCTCAGAACTCAGTCACTCTGTACTCCTTCTGTAGTATTTAGGAGGAAAAATGTGAAAGACAAGACTTTAGAGTCTGACTCTTTAAAGTCCAATCCTAGACAAATTTATAGTTTCACTAATTTTACTGCAAACTAGTTTTGAAATCTGTTTCCCCACTCTAATACAGTGGACAAAAAGTTACTGAACATTTTAGAGTCTGTTATAGCAAAAGTATAGAGTAAGTTTGGGGTTATTCTAACCCTGACGCTTGAATTCTTACCAACTTTTCTGATAGACTTAGATTCATTTTTATACGAAAAATCAATGGGATTAGAATACCCTTTAAGAAACCACCTGAAACAGAAAAAGAAATTGAATTTAGTGTATAGAACACTTCACTAAATGTTGTGACAGTAATAGTCATATTTAAAATACATATGAAAACGATGTGTCCCTCCCACAATTAGCTTTCAATTTCAGCACTGCCCATACACTTCAGACATGTTTATGGCTTCATTAATATTAGTGGTAAAAGTACTGCTACATCAGGAAAAAAAACCAAACTCAAAGTCTTGCTATTTTCCCTGCCCCAGGTAGAGGCATCTCTAAGCAGACACGCATATGTGAATCAGATGTATATGGAATAGGTAGGTAGAGTCAGGTACCTACTGATGGAAAGGCTCCAATGGCTCCAGGGAAGCATTAGACCACATGGGCATGTCACTATCCACAGATCCACCTTTAACATCTCCAGTAAAAGCCCCAGTCTCAAAATAAGTCATTTCATTGTCTGTAACCATCATCTTTCTTATCGTATTATCAGGATATAAACCAAAAAAAGTTCCTAAAATAAAAACAGTTGAGCAGATGTAATTTTATGTAACATTTTAGTGTCATATAAACCCTTCTGGTTTCAAGAGCATCCGTAATATTAATTTAGAAATTGAAAATCTGATCTTTGTCAAGAATTTCCTTGCTGATTGTCAGATATTCATGTATGAATATCTGTATAGTGTGTCTTTCAGTAGGGGAAAAAAAAAAAGCAGCTATGATGTCTTAAGCACAGAGCCCTCTGCTGCAATTCTACATATTCCTATTGCAGAAACAAATCACCACCTATCCACCACCTGGCCCTGGCAGTACCAGCAGGTGATGCTGTTTAGGAGAAGCACATGAGCCTGGTAACGGTTTATAAACCACCTCTGCACATCTCCAGAATCTGCAATAATATTAAGCCAGTTGGAACATACATTGCTCCCTAATCCTTTTGGTATCCATTTATGCACCAGCTGCACATGAATTTCTTCAATCCCTTCATAATCTCACTGAACCTAATCCGTGTTTGCTCCTTTCTTTTCTCTTACAATGTGCATTTGGAGTGAGTAAATTTAAACTTCAACGCCATTAAGTATTTGACTAGGTCTTAATGTCTGATTTGGGGATTTTAAATAAGCATGCTTCCCTGAACCTAGCCCTAACATGTACAGTCTTACCTTCCTGTACTAGCAGACTTCTGTACATCAAATTTAATGATTTTTCATTTATACAGACTTCAATGCCTGTATCTTCCTCCTCTTGGGAATATAGCCAGAAAGACTGGTCTAGGAATAAATTCTCCATGCAATGATTTATAAAACCTAGGAAAAAGAAAATCCAATTTGTTTTCTTTGCCATTTTACAGTATTACACAAAAATAAAAACTTTCTGAGAGTTAGAGACTACTCCATTATTATGTAATGCACAATGTATAAATCACAAAACTGTGTTCAACAAATTGCCAAAAACTGTGTGCAATTGAACACAAATTAATATACTGAACTATTGTATGGTGAAACTTTACCCAGTGAGTGGTAGGTTAGAAACTTCCATATTTCTTCAAAAGTTTTAAATGTCACCACTATTAAATCTTGATCACTGTGAATAGACAGGAGTCTGGCAGAAAGCTCCTAAAAATCAAAACCAACACTTTAATTACAATTACACCAGATTTAAGCACAATTTCTCACTAGATAACACTTAGGCAAAAATACTATTCATTAAGAAAGATTAAAAAATTAAGAATCCAGAATTTTATCTGCATTAGATATCTCTTCTTTAACATACACCTACAACATACAGGGAGCCAAATGTTAATCTGACTCTTGCTTAGCAATTGTACCAACAGTTTCAGTGAGGTTAATTTACATAGGAAATAAAGACCACATTGAGTGGGACTGAAGGTTTGTCTAGTTCAGAAATGTCTATGTATAACCATATGCATAACCATATACTCAAATGTATCTATATAGGCAAGTATATAGTAGTTCTTCCAAGAATATCCTCCACACAGAGTGGTTTACAGCTTGGGAACTGCCTTTGCCAGACATGTGGGCATTAATATTAAATAGTGGAAAGGAGTTTGGGGATTTTTTAACTTGAAATTTCTCACTTGATCAGTGTAAATTTTTAGGTTCTACCACTTCTTGATGTAGATTACCCTCAGAGCTCTGTACACACACAAAAATGCAGTTCCTTGATGCAACTTTGAACCTGCTTCCTGGTATAGTCAGTCTTTATCCAGAAGAGATATTGAATAATTATTTCCAAGTATACTCTTTTTTGGTTAAAACAAATATACCAAAGTATTATATTTATTTTTTTGAAGATGCCGTAAGATATTATCTTCATTTGTATTGGTTCACATTGCTAGCATAGCACTAAATTTTTAAATTAATCTTTTAACAAAGATAAGCAATGATCATTTTAAGTGGTGATGATAGACTTTAAGGTATTCCAGAAATGCTAAAAGGAACAACTACATAAACCTTCAAATAAGTGAAAGAAAAACACATTTTGATGGATTTTAGACAGGGAGGGATAATATAGACCCTGGTTGCACTCCTGTTTGTAGCTTAAAAACAGGGCTCCCCAGTAATGCTGGCTATTGCCTTTCAGGGAAATACAAAGAACTACATAGCTTATGAGAGAAGTATCTGAATCACTGTCTCAGAGAATAAATCAAACTTGAAACTAACATGTATGATGCTACTGTACCCTTACTCCCATCACATTACAATTGAAATGCAGCTCGAAAAAATTGAAAGACTGGGCAATAAATTGATTCTAACTCAAGGCAGAAGGGAGGAAATTGTCCCTCAAACCTTTCCTATAATTTTAGTAAGATGGAGCTGATTAACTGATTTTATGACTATTACAACACAATTTTAAAATATCTCTGAATTAATTCTGTTTAACATCCATATTTTCAATTCACACAATCTGAACACATTAAAAGTCCAACCTAGACTTCTTCAGCAAGCATCACTGCTTTGATCTTCTGCATGCACCTTTCTACACCAGATTACATATTAATGACAGCCTGAAATCTATTAATAAATTGCCAACACATGCTAAAGTATGTCAGCCTCAGGGGCTTCATGCACTGCTGAATATCAAAACAACATTCTAATGCAACTTATTATCAATCTTGTTTCCTTCAAAGCCTTTTCCAGTCTGTTCCTAATAAGGCCACAAATCTAGTCCATTTGTTTGCTCTTTTCCTTTGCCTCCCAATCCCATCTCCCTTCCTCCCTCTCCCTCTAAACACAATCCAGAGCAGAGAAGCAGAAGTACAGACTGTTTGCACACCCACAAATCAGCAACCTGGTGGTGGGGTGGTCACAACATATGAAAGGAAAATGGTGTAGAAACATGCGTCTGTATTAGTGAAAAACATAACTAATTAAGATTTCAGTAGATTGGTTTGCTAGTGATTGAGGCTGGAACCCATGGCACAGCCAAAAAAAAGACACACCAGAGGTTAAATGGTATAATTTCCTTTTTTTTTTTTTTTCCTCAAGAGGAAGGAGGAGACTAACCTTTATTCAAAGTAAACCTCATGGTTGTAGAGAACAGGTTTCCCATATTAAAAAAAAAAAAAAAAATTAAGAGTAATACAATTTGGCCAACAATTGTATGCCATTTAAAGTTATAGCCATTTAGCCCTAGGAAGTCCAATGCTTAGGCTGTTCTCTTTCAAACTTCCTCTTTGGCTTAGCAGTGAGCTTCCCAGGAAATTAGCATGCAAAATAACTCCAGGTGTCTAGAAGCTGAAGTGATGAGTCAATGCAAGGGCAAATTAAAATAAATCAAAGCCCCGTTATTTACCTAGATGTAAATGAAAGCAGAAATTTTTTTAAATAAACTCATTCAATTACCTATTAAGGTGGGTTTGTTTATTTATTTTATATTAACTTGGTGTTCCTGTCTCCTTCAATAATTCAATATTTCTAAAGCCCCTAAATGTTTCTGGGCCACAGGAAACTGGTCACTCAAATTCAAACACCCAGTATGTAGATGGAAATAGGACCCAAATACCTTCAGACTATTTCAGTAGCACAGGGACTATTATCTGAATAAATAAAACAATTTCCAAGCAATTGACTTACACTGAAGACAGTCATCACCTCCTTGCTGTCATTTTCCAGGAGACGGAGCTGCCCTCTGAGCTGTCTTTGGAGCCTGGGATCAGGACATCCACTCTTTCTTTTCACCATTGTTAACTTCAGGGAGATATCTGGAGGAGGATAGCCATTTTCAGTACTACAGGCTTTGTGAAACAGCTTTGGAGAACCAGAAAACACCTCAAAATCTTAGAATACACATTAAGATATATTCTTCCAGCTTCAGAGACAGGCACACAGTACCCTGATCTACTGCATGTTTCTTTTACATTTTTGTTATCCTGTAGACATAGGAGCCTAGCATGAAACAATTTTGAGAGGCAACAGATATTTATGGATGGAGAAGGAAAGAAAAGAATAAACAAGCAAGTAGATTGGTAATTTGTCAATTTAGACAGCTCTGGGCATTGCAAACCTGCATGGAATATTTGGAAATCTGAGCATATCAAAAATCAAAGCAAACAGATACTGCCATCACAAAAAAAAACAAAAAAAACCCTGAACAACAACAAATAGTTCAGCATGTTACAACCCATCAAGCTAATCTTAAATTCATAGCTGTATCTGATATGTCACCCCCACTGCTTCAGAAGGCTTTATACATCAAATATTGCAAAAGCTGTTTCTCAGCTAAGCTGGTTGAACAGTACCAGCCAAGTTAAATGGTCCAACTAAAAGCTCACTTACATGATTTTCCCAGCACATCTGAAAGCAGCTAGATAGCTATTCCCAAGCTCTTGGCATCTGTTTGTGGGAAGCTTTTACTACAGCTCAGGGTACAGCTCCAGCCAGCTTCTCTCACATAAAGAGGACCTTTGATAAAGCTGCTTTTATTCCACATTAATTTGTTAATTTAGCTCAATAACAGTAAATCAAATTTTCAGACACCCAGATGGGCATATATAAGCCAATAATACCCAGTCAGGAAGAATTCCAATTGCAAAGTATATAAATAGGTCACAATTCCAGCAATATGGGACTGTTGTGCATACTAAAATATTCCACCTCTGAGTTTCACATTTTAATCCAGTAAAATAAATGGTTTTCACATTCTAGTCTAATATGCTGTATCTGGTTCTGTTTTCAGAGGGCTTCCTAGGCAAATCTCCAGGAGTTTTACCACAACTTGCATAAATTACTCATTACTTTAAGGTCAAGAAGGGTGGCTCAGAAATATAAACCTGTGTTACTGAATTACAAGGCCTCTCCCTTTAAGCTGTGGCCATATAGTCAGTTGTTAGTAGCAAGAACACAAAATAAAGTCTCTAAGTGTTGCTCAGGTGCTCTACTGCTACAGTAGAATTACTGACCTTTTCATTTTACCTGAAAACATAAAACGTACTACCACAAGAGAAGACTGACTTAAAAATATACACATTCATTTTACTTAATCAAATTGGTTCTGAAGTAGAATATATATACATAACAGTATACACATAATCTAACTTCTACAGAAAGTTAAATGTTAATGAAATAATTATTACATTGAATAAAAACAACAGAAATACAGCTAGTTCTGTCAAAAAAACCCCTATGATAATGCCTTAGAGATGAAATATGGTCTAAAACCCCATTATAATCTCCTGTCTGCTCCTGTCTCCCTTGACCCATACCTCCATTTACAAAGAACCCAAATTCTGTACAAAGCAAGACAAGCAGGTAAATAAAGCACAAATAATTTGACTAGAAATAACCATATGCCTGGGGAAGACTGCCTGCCACTGATGTGATTTGTCAGGTCAAGCCAGAGGGCAGGGAACAGCTCAGTGCTGGTTTTGATGGCACAAGAAGGGAAAGGTGCCAAGACCCTCAATTCACAGTGCCTGCCATGATCCCCCCAGAGGTGAAGCCTACTGAACCCACATACTGAAGAATTGCATTCAATTGACACTTCACTGAAAATACAGCATTAAAAACAATAAAAACAGGTACTTGGAAAGCCCACAAACTTCAAAAGATAAGACATTTAAAGGATTGAAAGACACATGTAAAATAAGCTAGGAACTTTTTATTTGCTTCTCTTTATATTTTTTTGTAACCAGTATAATATAGCAGATACATTATTTCTGGTTTTTACAACAATTGCTCTGTCTTTTGTGAGAAATTCTCAACAAATCTTATGTAATAAAGTTGGTAACTTCAGAGCTGCCATGAAATACATTATAAAACTTACAGGAGTGGTGGCTGCAAATGTTGACTTAGTTGAGTTGTCTCAAAAACAAAAAAGTAAGCCATGAGAAAATCATTATAACATGAAGATAGTATGGGAGAAAAAATGCCTTACCAGTTGGAAAATTCTCTGCCTGACTGGGAAGGGTCCTTGAACTGACATTCATGCATTTTTCACTTGGAGAACACTCTATTAGATAAATGAAAGGAATGGTTATGTGCCTTTTCTAAGTCATATAAATCACAAATTGTTGGGGAAAAAAACCCAACAAAACACTCATACCCCGTGTTTTCAAAGCATTTGATGCATCAGATAATTTCTAAGACAAAATAACTATTTTCTCCCCTTCCTGCTATACAAGTCCCAAACACCACAAAAAGTCTGCAGAATATTTCTTTCCTCCTGGGCTGGATGGGGAAGTTAAATCTTTATTGCATTATTTTGATATGAAATTTCAAGATGGGGAATTGATGGAAAGAAAGGTTCTCAAGAAACAGAATTCTCACTTGGGAAAGAGCAAGGGTCAGACCTAATTTTCTCTTCCCTTGCACCTATATTAAAAATGGCTCCCACTGATGCTTCAGTGGTATAAATTGCTGTGTCTTGTACCAATTAATACATGGAAAAAAGTAAGTCTTCTCTTCATCTGTTATATGTGTATGTAATACTTGTCAGGGGGTACTGTAAAATCAAGTGATTTGAAGTTTCAGGAAAATATCACAAGTAAGGTATGTTTTGTATTAATACTAATCTGCTTTTTTCCTTTAGCCCATATTTCTTCCTCTCCTTTGGGGAATGATATATTTTCATGCTGATAAAACAACTATTTCTATTCTCTCAAGGTTCCCTGGGCAAGGGAGCAAAGACAAGGCTTCATATTTCTAAGAATAAAAGAGAAATAGATCTTTCATTTTTTTCTAGAAAATTTCTGAGGCAATTTTCATGTATCCCAAGACATTATCTATGAAGCTCTGCTTTTAAAATAAACCCTGTAATATAGCAGGGCATGGTAATTTCCAAGTCTTTTGCATCTTCCCTCAAGTGCATCTATGAATGTTACATGAATAAAGTCATGCAAATAAATAAGGATACATAAAAAAAGAGTTTTCCCACCTCAAAAAGAAAGGAAGCACTAAAAACATTGTCTTTAAGGCCCATTACTAGCACATACTCAAACTAGAAATTGAAATCCCCAAACACTTCAGTTTTATACAGTTTTGGTTAGGTGTTTGACAGAAACTTAGGGGTTGGGGTTTTATTTATTTTCTTAACATGGACAATAGGTTTTTGTTTTTAAGTAGAAATTTGATAGTAATCTCACCACAGTGCAGGCTGACTATGTTTAGGAAACATTCTAAATTTAAGTCTCCTAGAGCTTCTGGGATCAGGCTTACCTGTAGCTCTGCTTTTTTCTGGTTTTAGTCACAATTACAAACAGAAGGTGTCAAAACTTTGACAACATGTTATCACTTTGATAATCATTTAATACTTGACAAGAACAATAAATTGGCATAGGTTCACATGTTAAAATATGTGAACTATTATCACTATTATTTCAATATTAAAAACTGTAACTTTTCTTGAAAGGTAGTTATCAAGACATTAACATCCATTTCTGTGACTTTTAGGAAAAGGCAAAGGCTATCAGTAAGCATTTGAATTACTCATCAGTTTAATTTAAAATAATAGTTTGCTGTTAAATTTGAGTGAAAGGGTAAGAGTTACTATAAATACAGTTTGAATATGTTTAAACTTTTTTAAGTACTAGAATTAGGTTCAAAAACTTAATATTAACTCCTACTTGGTAGAATGTCTTGCATATTTCTTGGAAAGCTAAAGAGCAACTTTATACTGCCCTGGGATGCTTTTACCTGGTCTTTGATGTCAGAAGCATTGAAGTTGTGAACAGAAAGATATTGTGAAAATCACACAACATATACTTTTAAATTAAATAGGTTTTTTCCATGATTTTTGGAATTATTTTCACATTAAGACACTCTTGAGCCTACTGTAAACTAAGAGCCTGGCCATTGCCACCTACCTATGTCCCTCCACTCCTCTACCCAAATAGTCCTTCTGACTTGCATGATTTTATCCCACAAAGTATATTTTCTTTTGCACAAAAGCAGTACTACACCTCTGATGAAAAAGGAACTTTAAAAAATAATTAAAATAGAAACTTGGCTTCTGAATCTTACAGACATAGCAAAAAGGTGCTAGAAAATAACTTCTATTTCAGTACCCTGGCTCTTGGGTTCTGATAATTTTCATTTTATCTTACCAAAAGATAATCCATTTGCCTGCCTCAAGTGAATTTCAGTGTAGATTGTTCAATAGTCCAATCTATGCAGCATTTCTATGGAAGAAACATAGCTGCTGGTTGTATTTCAAAAGAAGCCCATCTGGGTTCTGGGATTCTGTGAAAAACACCTGAGAGTTCTCAGCTTGTGCAACATTAAAAAAATACAGTAATTCAAGCACAAGGAGAAGTCAGGAGCAGAGGCACCAGGATGTATTTTTTGAGGTCTTACCCATTTGTTCTTGCAACGTGTCCATCCCAACTCCATCCCTGAGGGTGCTGATGGCAGCATTGCTCTCCACATGTTTGCAGTCACACCTGCACATTTCCTGCTCTGTTTCTTCCCTCTCCAAGTTCCTGTCTTGCTCTCCCTCCAGAGCAGGGACAATGGTGTTAGTGCTGAGCATAGACGTGCCACCTGCCACGGCCAAACTCTCCATAATTTCAATTTCCTCACAGTGGCACAATTAACATTATGAAAAACCTGAAAGAGAAAAAAACACATCAATATTATTTTTTAAAGTGTCAGAAAAGTTGAACATATTCAAGAGCTGTCCCTCTCCTGCAGGAGTTATTTTTAATTGTAATATGGATTAAAGAATTTTGCTATAGGCTTTTTTCAGAGGAACTGTTGTGTAACACCCAAATTTATCCCAGAAAAAGCTCCTGCAGTGAGGAGACATCACTGCTTTAGGAACAAAGCAACAGACTTGGCTAACAGCAACAATCCAAGACCTGAAGTGAAATGTGCTTGTGCCCACTGCTAATTATTTGTTCTTGGCCAGCTATAAAGCAGAGCCTCCCAGGGATAACATCATTCACATCAACAGAGAAATTGCAGGGGAAAAACATTTTCTAAAGGTGACAAGAATGGAACAAGTACTGCATGCTGAACTCAAACAACAAAGAAGGTTTATATAAATTCAGCTAAAGAATGAATCCTCCACAGGAACCCACGGTGCAGGACAGGCATCCAAAGAGCCAAGCACTACTTTGCAGCAAAGCAGAAAAATGCAGCCCTACAGAAGCTAGAGGCTGAGTCTGGCAGCAAGACTCCATTTGGCATGATCAGGGAGAAGGAATAGAAATGGAAATAGAGCACAAGTGGCTGCAAGCTCCACTGCCCCCTGCACTCACTGAGGTGAAGCATCCTGCAATCCCATTTCATGGGCACAAGTTGCTTCAGGGTTAGGAAGATGCAGCCAGACCACCAGCCAAAGCATCCACAAAGGATGTGACTGATGTAGCCAGAACATGCCCACTGACACCTGCTCCCTTTTCCTCAGTGGGCTTTCACATGTGTCTAAATGATTTCATAAAGCCACAGGATAGATTTTGCTTTAGTCCTGTCATTTGGATTAAATCTGACTTCCTCTGTGTTTACTCCAGCCATACTCATGAACGAGCTACATTCATGATGAGTGTCCAAGGTTGTGATCTTCGGGAAATTTCATCTCATTTGTTCTCCAGCAGAAATTGGTTAAATCTGAAGCTGTAGATGGAAAATGCACTTCTGCTCTGCTAAAGCGCCAGACTAGTGCCTGGTCACTTAGGATCCACTTATGATCTGCCTTCATTCTGGCCAAGAAATGTCTCACTTCTCCTTTTACCATGCAATAGGGTGTCCCAAAGCACATGCTTCTGGCTTTTTTCTTCACAACCCTGCCTTCCTACACTTCTTGCCCTCCAAGCTTCACATCATAGATCCCTAACCCTGAGCAAACCAACATGAACAGCCCAACAGCTGCTGGCAGCCTGCTGGGGTAAGCAGGTACACAGAACAAGGCAGGATCTGTCTGCACAACTTTCCTGCTCTTTCACAGTCACTGAAACCTTTGCCCCAAATGAACACTTCTTGAAAAAATAGTGAACTATATATAGACCTAGGCAAGTTATGCAATTATAGAAAAATTAATGAGGTATGGTTACAGGTTGTATGACCAGCTCAGAGAATTAAATCATAACCAGATCTACCACAAGTTAATGAAGTGTGAAGACATCTAGGCTGGATTTTGCTTTAATGTTTTCATTGTCCCATTTTGCCATTTATTCAAAAGTGCCTATCAGAGTGCTGTAGCTGACTTTCAAAAGATGCTTTTGGTGCTGCATGACAGTTCTCTATATAAAGTTATGTAAAAATTCATATATGCACCTATAAAACACAGGTGGTAACTCAAACACAAGTAATTTTTATCCCTTCTCTCACAAAAGAACATTTTAATTAACATATTTGGTTGACACTAGAAAAACTGCCTATCAGACTTGATGACCTAGTTATAAATTATTAAAAATACAGGCCTGCCAAAGGCCAAACTCACTTTGCCAGATATCTGTTTTTCCATTTATACAGCTGATCTTTTCCTTGAAGTAATGGCAGTAGCTAACACCATTATTTTCATTACTGTACCAGGATTATATGTAATGCATTCCAATTTTCACACTTTGAAATTAAATACTTTTCTGCATATATTTTGTAAATAATAGTGTGTCCTGTGTGTGAAGATGTAAATATTTTGGTATTAATGATGATTTGGTTCCAAAGGAGGTTGTTTAAATTGCATTGTTCTGTGAATCCAAAGCCAGTTGTTATTTTTAGATCAGGATTACCCTTAATCCCAGAAATGAAATTCAGTGTTCAGATTATTCATTTTTTTCCCATAAACTCCTATCCACAAGCAAAAATATCATCCTGCACAAAACTGAGGAAGAAAACATACTCTGACTGGAATTATTAGAATTCAGTTGAATTGTAGAAGAGATACTGATAAAATTTTTCATCTCTTCTGCATCAGCTTCTGTTGGTAAGAGTAACATATATGCAGGTCTGTGAATGAATTTAGAAATCTTGGAACTCTAAGAGCAAGTGGGACACCTGAACAAAACAAAATGGATATAATCTGTTTAAGAAGATTCAGTCACAGAGCCTAAGCCAAGGGAACAGAATCGGAATGAGTGAAAGAAAAGCAAAACAGGTATGTCCATAAGTATGTTTTCTCTGGGTTCTTTCAAGATGAGCAGAACAAAAACTCAAACCTCAAACATTTTTAGCAGTCACGTTCTCCTCTACAAATTTCTTTTCCATTTTTAATGTTTGCCTTAACCACCAAATGTCAACCCATGTGGCTTTGTGTAAGTACTGAGAACAAAATAGTAAACTTTCCCATAGCTGGGCCCCTTGTCTACCTTTTGAATGTTTATCTGGCACCTAAATGTATCCTAACTGACACAAATTTGGTCCCAAGTGAGAAAGATTTCATAGGAATTTATATTGAATTCCTGTACTTTTATTATTTGCCTTTATCTTGTAAATACCCCAAGACACATAAGCAAAGCTACAGTATAATTATCCTATTTATTATGTTGATGCTTTCTCAATTGTTGTTTCACCACAAATTAAAGCAGATTTAATGGCACAGAACCAGAGAAAAACATTAATCTAATATAAAACAGCTTTAGAGAATACTGAACTGCAGTGCTTGAGTCACTCTCATTATTAGAGTTTTCTTCATAAACCTATGATGCTATAAGTATAACGGCAAATTAGCAACTTACCATTTGTTGATAGCAACAAATGCAAGATTAAAGTCTTCAAGAGTAAAGATCTAGCACTCACCATATAAACTTTGTCATCTCTAACTAGTTCTTACAATCTATTTTTATGTGCAAACTATGTGTACTGACTAAGAAATTTATTTATAATTTAGAAAAAAACTATTTTTCTCATGCTTTTTGAATCTTCACCAAAAAATTCATATTTGGTCCAGGATGTTGGCCATAAAGCTTACTAATCTTCCTTTTCTTCTGAGCCCAGAGCCAACCTCTACTCAAAACCATGTGGTCAAGTTGTGGCTCTCTCCACTGCTCAGGGGGCTCAGTTTCCAAGGCAGCAGAGAGGAGCAGCAGATGCTGGACAGCTGAACACCTTGCATCCTCTGGTGTCCTCCCTGCCCATGGCCTGAGCTCCCTGGACATGGGGAGCATGTCCAAGGGCTCTGAGTGCTGCCCCACGCCCCAGCCAGGCTTGCGAGGCTCAGGAGGTCACTCCACCTTCCCTGGCCCTTCTCAGGGCACAGCAGGCAGGCAAGGACATCAAAGTATCCAACAGCTGTTGGACATCAGGGGAAATGAGACACTATTTTTCCACCTTTATCATGCCTTTCTGTGTGTTGCTGTTTCCTTTTTGCTGAGTGTTTTCAAAGCCCAGCTAATCAGAAGAAAAACATATAGCTTGAGATTTTCCATGTAGGCTGAGGGTTGTTTTTCTCCCTTGCCTTTTTTAAGGCACATTGTGGATGACAGGAACACCAATTCATTCCCTTTTAAAGGGTGTTGAAGGAGAAAACCAATAACAGCCACTGAACCAGATTCTCTCTCTCCCTCTAAAGATATATTTCTGAGACTAGGAGCTGATATACAAAAATGGGCTTTATTCAAATTAGCTGCCTAAAACCTGTATGCAATACAATATTTTTTTCATTCATCATCTTCTCTCTAGGAGCCTCAGGAAAACGTACTAATGACTTACTAAGGACCTGTCTTGCAACTATACTGCCCTAAATTAATCTAGGTCATTTTCCCAAACTGACACTAGAGTAATTATTTTATTCCTTCCTTCCAGTTCCGATTAACATTTCACATCTTCTGTATTAGGCTAAAAACATCTTAAAGCCAAGATCACAACAAACTTTTTCTTTAGAGAGTAAATCACACACTTGATCTCTATGAAATTGAGTCACAGGCATGAATGTAAGAAAAAAAATCCATATTAGGTTCTGTATAGGCAACAATTATGTATTCCACATAAAGGTAAGCAAATCTATAATCAAGGTAAACAAACTTAGCAATCCAAGTGCTTTCCAAAAAGAGAAGATTGACTCCTTTATCACAGAAGTAACTTGAGTTTAGTTAGCAATTCTCAGTAAACAATGTTGCAATAGATAGAATTGTTCCTAGCTCGTCTACAAACAAAAAAGCCCTAGCAAGCTTCAGAGATTCAGTAGATGCCTTTAAAAGCTTTAGTCCTCTCTATGATTAATTTTCTTTATATCTCAGTAGCACTGAAATATATTTTCCATTCTCAGCACATCTCTAAAAGCACCGTACACTCAAAATTTCCAAGTTTAGATATGGAAAATTGGAGAATAAAATCCACAATCTCATAACCGCTTAAAAATAAGCATAAACTCTAGGAATGCTTTAAAATAAAAATCAGATCACTGTTAGAAAACTATAAAAGGCATCTGTGAATCTCAGTACTTCATTCTGAGTGCTAGATGTGACAGAACTTGGCCTGTGGCAGATAATGCAGAGGAATAAAGTAGGAGCTGTTGCTACTGAATTGCAGCTCAGCTGACACCACACCACCTAGAAGAGGGAAACAGCAGCACAGAAAATCCCAGCAGGTTCCCATAACTGTGACAGATCACATTTACACATTTTC